AGTGGTGTAACAGATCGTACTAACTACAGATGACGGTGGTATACGGCCAATGGGAAGCAACAAGCTTATCAGTCAAGTCCACTCTAGCTCATTGTTTGACTCATTATTGGAAAAAAGAAATTCAAAATGCGTTAGTGAAGTCAAAAAACGTACCTTTAATTGCATAAACTTCAGCAACTAATCGTAGAGCTCGCAATGTACGGAAAGGCGTGTTGGCAAGCTCCATTCCAGAATTTTCAATATCTTTCAGAGCCTAAATAAAAAAAATCAGAAATAAACGATATCGTACATAGCTTCCCGAATACTTAGACTAGCGATTCTTCAGCACAGCGGTTGCAGGTCTTACACGGGTCTCAGCCAGCTTCAGCCATCCACTCAACTGTTCCCAGAGGAGGTTGGGGCAGGTCGACCATTCACTGCTAATTTACACGGGGGGGGGCGTATTCGGGGTTTAACAAAGTTCGAAAAAAGATCGATTTGGAGGAATGCTGTGGATGAAGTTGGTGTGTATCACTTAGTCTCAGAATCCAATACTTACAACTTCATAAAAAGTTGTGTGGTTGTGGTGGTGCTGGGGTGTTCGTGCATTGAGTGAGCCCCTTTAGAAGTGGTGGTGTAAGGGGTCGTATGAATGCCTCACGGGAAGCAAAAGGAGGTAGATTGCGAAATTCGGAAATTTTCCCGAAGTGGAGGTTGACCCTGGGTAAGAGTGGGTTCGCATTTGGTGAATTCGGCATCATGTTCTTGGGAGGGAATTGTTGGGATGATCGAAAACTTTAATGGAGCTCCTCCCACCTCCCCAACCTGACAAACTTCTTGGAAGAGGTAGGCAGATTGGGGTTTTACTATTCAGGCTACTAGCAGCCCACTAATGAAGAGATCAAAGAAGACTGTATGAGAGCTTCCAACATGGGCAGAAATCGTGCCACCCTGAATTTCCCCCCCAACACAACGATTGAACCTGGTCCCATCGTCTTTGTCACTAATCTTTTTATATGTATTTGTTATGAAAAACTACTGCACACCTGTCCATAAGCAGCACATGCATAGTGCAACTTTGCAAGCAATAAGTGTGCTTCTAATACTGTGCCCTCACTGCGACGTTCCACCGTTTCGTTGAGAAGTGTCTCGGCTTCTCGCAACCCACTGGCATGTCCACTGCGCGGCCGCAGGACTTCTGTAGAAGAAAATATGCTCAATGTCCTCATTAATTTATGGTTCCCACAGACTTCTACTATTTCTACATTTTGTAATAAGGTAGAATATACAATTTCGAAGGATCAAAGCTTTCACCGTTGACTGATCTCCTGGCTATGGCCGCTTTACTAATTTCGCCATCAAAAAGTCTTTGAACCTCGAATATGCGAGACTGGTTTTTCCTTGCAATGAGAGCCGATCGTAAAATACAAATTCAAAGGAGCACCAAGACCCGGGTACTAAGCTATAGAAAACTAGAAGGAAGCTCTGTTTGGGCTTGAATGGGATGGCATTTTGGATAGATAGGACTCCTTCACGCAACTGGTGAAGTGCACTTCATCCATCAGAATTTGCCTTCATAGCCATAAGAGCAGAAATGTTTGAATGGCCTTGAAGCTACAATCCATATCTCGGAGTCTGATTGGGCGTGTCACCGAAAATCAATGTGGCAGCCACCGCACTTGATAGATGTCGTGTGGATAAGATACTCCGCCAGATATCAGCAAAGCATGCTGGAAGCAGCTTATCCGCGCAACTTCTATCAAGTGCGGTGGCTGCCACGTCATTTCCGGTGACACGCCCAATCAGACTTCGAGATATGGACCGTACCCTACCGCACGCATCATAATTCGGTGTATTTGCCAACCTAACAAACGCGATGATGATATGCAACAAAGGAAGCACTCAAGTTCAAAAAAGTGCACGAAGCTAGTACCCCAGGGGTACTGCTGTGACTGAGCGGATGAAAGTGATTTTTAGAACTAAAAGGTTTGAAGCAGATAAAGATGAGGGAAAGCAAGTGATATGACCAAGTCCTGAAAATTTCACAGTTTCAGCTGATGAAAAAGGTACTTCTCTCCTTATATTTCTTCCACCATCTTCGCCCCGTTCCAACTTATAGCATGTTGAAATCAGTGAATTAGGAAAAGTAAGAACAAATCAGGAACCTCCTTGCTGTTCGAGGAATGTTTCCAATTGTAACTCGGCTTCAACCAATTCCACCATGTCCTCCATGCCCGAATGCTTTGACTTCATGGCCTGGAGAAGCTCGGCCAATCGTTTCCAATTACCTAAACAATCTTAATCATTGACAGCCTGGGACAGAAAAGGAAGAGAAACTCCACCATCAGCCCGTGCTCGATCAACCTCCGCTTCGAGCCTACTTCCACGGAGCTTTGTTGTCATTGTTGAAGTCTAAAGAAGCTTCCGAGTTACTCTTCTATTGTTGTCGACGGATTCAGCCTGAACAGCTATTTTAAAGCCAGACAATTACGACTCCAACACTTCAAACGGTAACCTCAAACAAACTACTACCTCAAACCAAATACCCTTCCCCGGAAAATTAAGCACTTAAGACATTAAGAAAACCATCATCCAGCTGCGCATTCAAGACAAATGATTTCTACAGCCCAGTATACATTTTTCAGAGTAATTCGCAGTACGCATCATCTACGATTAGATTCCAATAGGAAAAGTGCCAAAAGTGACTAGATAGTTGAAATTTGAGTAGCTTTTCTTTTCAATTCAGGTCCAGCAGCATTCCCTATGGTACTGCCGGATCCGGAGCATTCAACTACTAATCCACCAAAATTGAAAATTGAATACTGCGCATCAAACTCTAATGCCAATGGACTATGGAAGGATCTTCAGCGAAAAAATCTAAAGCTGAAGCTGTTCGGAATGCGCCACAAGCCTTTGATCAGGATCAGGTTTATGTTCCCCGTACAATGCTTGCGGGAAGTGTTCCACTTGCCACTACATCACCCATCATCTTCATCCTGCAGGCGAATCAACAAATAACAGTACTGGGAGCAGGCTAACAGGTCATATCACAGCATACAAATCATCACGACTACTGTAGAAAATATGTGAAAGGTCACTTTGCCTTTGTTGTTGACG